GCTGCGTACTCCAGGCTGGTCTTGAACTCTCCATCCTCCTCCCTTAACCTCCCAAGAGCTGGGAGCACCGCCACAAAATTGAGGCTCTCAATGTCTTGCCCAGAGTCACACAGCAGCGCCAAGACCGAGTGTGAGCTGGGAGGCCACCAGTCTGGCACACTCCCTCCCTGGAAAGGTCCTCGTGCTGCCCTCCCAGCACCCAGCATCCTCCTTCAGTTCACAGCTTACTCTTGGCCCGTGTGCTTGTCCGGCTTTCTAAGACTGCTATTTATTTATTCTTTGGATTTCCAGCTTGTATTCTGCTGTGCCAGCACCAGAAGATAAAGGAAGGCACGGCTCACATTCAAGTGCACGGCCTGGGAGACAAGGCTTTTGCCAGAGTCAGCTGAGTCCTTCCAGACAGCCTGAAGCCTTCCCAAGAGGCAGAGGCTGTTTCCTGTTTCTCCTGTACCCCCCCCTCCCTGTGGTGACCTCCTTGATCCCTCCTCGGGGACTTGATGCTGCTGTTGTGACCATGGCCATGGGGGATGGACAGACTTGGCCCAGCAGAGCTTGGGAAGAGAGTCTAGGCTGAGAGCACAAGGTTGAAAGCTGATTCCTGCAGTGCCCAAGGGCTGACCCTCTGCAGCATCAGGACCTGCATTCCGCACTCTGCATGGGATGCCCAGTGTGCAGGCCTGGCTATGTGACTAGTGCACACAAATGCATGGACATTTCTGCATGGACATCTAGACACCAGTCCCCTCCCCCATCCTCTCCCCTCCCTCTCTTTTCTGAGGTAAGACTCATGATGTAGCCCAGGCTGTCCTCCTCCAACCTCAGCCTGTTGAGTGCTGGGGTGACAGGAGGGTGTTACCAAGCCAGTTTTGACATTGTGGCCTTCTTTCCACATTGACCCTGTCCTTGCTAAATTTCCAGGAGAAAACCCAAGAGTCACTGACTTTTTTTTATCCCCCAGTGGCAGTGCTGGAGATTAAGCCTGGTGAACCAAAGCCAGGCCAGAGCTCTTCACTGAGCTGTGTCCCCAGCCTCCTCCTCCTCCTCCCCTTCTTCCTCCTCTATTTTTTTTTTTTTTTTTTGTTTTTTGTTTTTTGTTTTTTGAGACAGGGTTTCTCTATAGCTTTTGGAGGCTGCTCTGGAACTTGCTCTGTAAACCAGGCTGGCCTCAAACTCACAGAGATCCACCTGCCTCTGTCTCCCTAGGGTTGGGATTAAGGGTGTGTGCCACCGCCCCCTTGTCGCAGCCTTCTTTATTTTGAGATAAGGTCTCACTAAGTTACCTAGGTTAACTTTAAACTTGCTATCCCCAGCCCCACCCCCACCCCCATGCTTCAACCTCCCGAACAGCCTCGAAGAGACAGCTGCAAACCACCAGGTAGGGCTAGCTTCTCTGAATTTTTAACAAGACAGACGCATCCTGGGCTCCATGTTCTGGCTTCCTGTTTAGCCGCTGAGCAATCTTCAGTCCCAACACACAGACAGAGTGATCCAGGATCAGCTAGGAGAGCTGTTTCTGATTTAAATGCCCTTATCTAGAACCTCTGTGGGGGGAAGAGAGAGGTGAAGGCAGGTCTCGGGGCGGAAAATAACAGACCAGACACAGGAAGAATGGACCTGTTTAATGACACAGCTGGGTCTGGTTACAAACATCAGAAACTACAAAAGAGACAGGCGGGTACAGGAAGACTGCGTGAGAACGGGGACAGGAGGAGATGCAGGCACGGTAGCCACAGCAGCAAGACATCCTCCAGGACAGTACACATGACCAGGGGGTGCACACGGGGTCCCCGCAGTGTTAAGGAGACTGGTGGCCTGGAGGAGGGCAGGAGGGAGAGGCCTTGGGTCTCCACTGAGGATGGCATCCCCATTTCCATGGCCTGGCTGCTGTCTGAAGTGAGCCAGTGACGTGGACATTCTCGGGCCCTTTACTCAGGCTGTCCCTCACCCCTCCACACGCACACACACAGGACACATACACTGGCTGCCACCCCATTGAGGTCTTGGTGTGCCCTGGTCCTTGCCCTTTCTAGGGCAAATCAGTCAGCCAGACCCTTGGGAAGGGGAGAGGAGTCAGATATTATTTTGTTTTGTTTGAGACAGGGTCTCCTTGTGTAGCTCAGGCTAGCCTGAAACTCACCATCATGGAGAACAAGTACAGACTACGTGACCTCAAATTTGCAATGATTCTCTGTCCTTGGCCTCCCAAACTCTGGGATTACAGGTGTGTGATACTACACCTGGAAAACCAGATTTTTTTTTCTGTTTTTCTTTCTTTCTTTTTTTCTTTTTTTTTTTTTTTTTTTGTAGAGGGGCAGGAATGCACACCACTGAGCTATGGGGACAAGCTGAGTCACCCCAACTCTACCACCTGGCCCCATCCTCTTGTGCAGTTGTAGGGTTTCTCCCGGCATCCAGAGAGCTGCCCAGGAGCAAGCATGACCAGGACTCCTCCTGACCTCCCACAGCTGGGCGAGACTGAGGCTTCCAGGCCTGCAGGTACACGCGATAGATATGTACGTATATATATTTATATAGAGATAGTATATAGAATATATCTGTATATATGGTAGACATGTGTGCGTGATACTCTAGAGATGGCGGCGTGAACCTGCATGCTGGTGGGCAGAGTGAAGCAGGGCTAGTTCCTTCCCCAAGTGGCTCACAGGCTTGTCCTCGCTTCCCACCGGCCACTGGCTAGGTCCCTCTCTAACAGTAAGTAGAAAAGCTAAGACAAGGGCACCCCCTGCTGTGAGGCAGAAGGGTTCCCCCTGCTAGGTTCAGCATCAAGGTAGCCAGCCCCACCTCCCAGCAGCCTGGGGGACCAGGAAGGCCTCCTTTCCGGAAGTTGAGTCGGGATTCCTGCAGCTTCCTTGGCACCCAGAAATGGAAGGTCAAGGAGTGTCTTCAGAATTCAGCCTTCTGCCCAAAGTGCTGCCAGGGACGGGGGAGCAGGGAGGGGTCCTATGGCCCCGAAGAGGGCAGTGTGGTCGGTGGGCTGTGGATGAGACAGGAGACGAAGGTAACAGGTTACAGGGGTCAGCGGGGGAAGGCCGGATGGGACATCTGGGGGACTGGGGGAGGGGCTGGGAATCATGAGATGGAGAGACCCAACACAGTTGCATGATCCCCCATTTCCTCCAGCCTCCAGCTAGTCTGCTAGGAGGGGAGATGCCTGGCTGGGCCTGCCCTTTGTAGGAGCAGGGGCTGTGGCCAGCATCTGGTCTGCTGAGAACTGAAGCGATTTCTTTTTACAAACACCACACAGATGGAGGATTGATGAATGGACGGACTGAGGGACGTGAACTTGTTTCTGTTCGTTTGGAAATCGGATGTGCTGCTTGTCCTAGCAGAGGGCTCCCTGGCTTCCATGCAGTGCCTCCATCCACAAAACCCCTTTTAGCTCACTGGCCGTCACACCCCCTGCCCCAGCGCCCCTCCACCCACACAGCGTCACACACCCTGAAGCAGAGACAGTTCAATAAACAGTGGTGTCTGGCTCAGTGTGTTTCTCTGATAAGAGAAGTTGGACAGGGCCCTTCTAGAAGTCAGCCCCAGAACTCCACCCTACCCTGTGAGGCGAGACAGGTCCTGGCAATAGGTTGTGTCCTGCAGGACCCCAAGACCCCAGGAGACTAGAGATGGGGATAGAGACTGTCAAGAGATGAAGTGGCAATGCCACACGGCTGCTGAGGAAGCCCCGTATGGGTGCTCAGGCCCAGGTGAGGTAGGTGGTCCTGGCTTGTCTGGCCCCTGCATCATCCACCCCCATCCAGCCCACTAGGACCAAAGGGGGGGGGGCAGGATGATGTTTGGGGTTTGGCTAGCACTAAATCCCTGGGGTCCAGCTGGGGCAAGAGTGGGAGGGCTCTAGCCATGTGTTTCTGATTCACTGGGGCTCGCTGGCCAGTTCTCCCCGCAGTCCCTGTAGGCCCTGTAAAAAGCTCTTTTCTCCAAAAGCAGGAAGTCTTGTGTCATGGCTGTAAACAAACTCATCTTGGGCGGCAGAGCCTGCCTGGGGAGTAGGGACAGGGGAGGGTGAGCCCCTCTGCTGTCTCCCCTCCCACGGTCTCCTCCCTGTTCCCTCTCAGTGGCAGCTGGAGGGAACCCCAGTTTTTCAGCCTGGCCAATGCCCTCCTCTGGCAGGTAAAACCCTTCTTGCCTCTCATTTACTCCAGGGTTTGGGCCAGGCCAGGCCCAGCTGTGCACATCTGGAGTTGACCTGGCCGCAACTAGCAATTCCTGAGAACTCTGTTCTGCTCTCCTGGGGGAGCTGCTGATGGTGGGGGAGGAACAACTTGACTGGTTGGTCAGTGGCAGGAAGGGCAATAGGCCTGGCCTCTCCCTGCCCTTAGGGACCTCCTCTACAGAGCTGGGTGGGGAAGCCGGCAAACAGGAGGTGGCAGGGGGGCCTTGGAAGAGCCTGAGGAGATGGTGCCTTTTCCATGGGAAACTGCTGGGAATGTTTCTCTACAACACGTGTCCCAAGCCGCTGGCTGACCCTTGGTTCCTGTTCCCGCCTCCGCTCTCTCTTTTCTTTCCTCCTTCATCCCTGCCTCAGCCCTTTCAGTCAGCTGCCTCCCCGGGGTCCAGGGGGGTCTGAGTGTTCCCAGCCGCCACATTGCAACAACGGAAGGCCAGGCCAGCCCTCGCTGTGCTCCCAGCCAGCAGGAGTCTCTGAGTCCAGCCACCCTGTTGGAGCCTAGAAGTGGGTGCTGTCCTCTGGTCAGACTGGAAGTAAACATCCCCTAGTTTTGTCCATGTGAGTGACACCCATGTAGGTCCCTGTGGGCCTGGGCATGTGCATGTGTCCTCGTGACCATCCTGAGAGTGTATGGAAGCTCTCACTGGTCAGCGTGAGATGTGAGATGAGGAACAGGATTGGTACTGGGGAGGAAGGGGTGGGGCTGGGCCACGCTGCTCTGAGTCTGAGGAGCCAACGCCCCACCAGGAGACAGTCACAGCCTTGGGTGACCTGAGCCATCTCTGCTCCAGACACGGAGAAGCACTGCCCAGACAAATCTACTTCTCAGCTCTGTGCAGACAAGAGCAGGGGCTGGACAAGCGGGCCTTAAGTCAGAAGGGTGCTGTCACGCGGGTCCTTTGTGTTGTGCCTGCTTTGAAGTGTATCAGACTCCTGTGTCTGCATGCCTGGAGGGTTCCTGCCCCAGCAGTCAGTCCCTGGTCCCAGGAGAGATGGGAAGCCTAGGGGGCAAGAGAGGACACAGCAGGGAGACTGCCCAGCCCACCCTCACCCCCTCCTCACGTGGCAGTGTTGGGGACCTGCTGTACCCAGCCCACTTCCTTGTAGGCAGCGGTCACGTGGCTGTAGATGAGACCACGCAGCTTGGCCCAGGCTTTCTGCGTCTCAGGAGGGAAGTCATTGGCAAACTCCTCGGCGATCACCTCCAGAATGACCCCAGAGAGAATCTGGGGGCAAAGGAGGGAAGGAGGGGTAAACGCCAGGGCACCCTGCCTCCCGAAGCCCCCAGGACCCCTGATTGCCCGGATTGGCCTGTGTGATGGTTACTGGAGACCATGCTCTCAAGACCATGCTCCCAGGGCCCGCACTTCAGCCACCTTTCTCTCCTGCTGCCCTGCGGCCCCTTCCTGCCACAGCCTCTGCAAGGGAACAGGCTGGCAGCACGGTAGCCATCTCTGCTATTTAGGGAGCCCTCCCGGAGCCACAGGCTGTAGGGAGCTATGGCCCAGTGGCCAGGGGGGCTCTGGACAAGAGCCAATGGAAGGCCATACCTTGAAGTAGACAGGTTCCACCTTGTGCTTGAGGGCATGAGCTTTGCCGACCAGGGCGAGCACAGAGGACACCTTGTCTGGGTCATGCAGGTTCTCCACGACAGTGTTGAGGGCCCCCATGACCCGGCAGGCATGCTTCCGCAGCTGGGGACTCCTCTCCATCTCCAAGGGGTCCTCCATGTGCTTGAACTGGCTGAAGTACTGCTTGGCTGATGGGAAGTTCACAAAGAACCTGGCAGGAGGAAAGGGTGGGCGCTGAAGCAGGGGGCTTCCTCTGAGTCCCTTTGGAGTGACCAAGATGGAGGTGGGGTTGGAGAAGCACTCATGCTCCCATACCAGGAATGTTTTTTCTCTCATATAGAGCTGTCCTTCAGTCACTGGCTCTCCCTCTGGCCAGGCCCTGCAGGGACCACCTGCTGGACCTGTTTAGGCTGGCAGCCTCTTGTGCCAGGCCACCGTCTGCCTTGCTTCTTGAGTGTTGCCTGAAGCTACATCCTACTGAGGCCTGCTCTGGTCACTGAGAGAGAGATTCTGGAATCGTGGGACAATTGTTTTAGGTTGGTTTTTGATTTTTCCATACAGGGTTTCTCTGTGTAACCCTGGCTGTCCTGAAACTTACTCTGTAGACCAGGCTGGCCTCAAACTGAAAGAGATCTACCTGCCTCTGCCTCCCGAGTGCTAGGATTAAAGGCGTGCACCACCACTGGCCAGCAATTGTTTTGGTTTTTAATTGAAGATTCATTTTGTTGCCCAGGATGACACTGAACTCCTAGGCTCAAGCCACCCTGCCTCAGCCTCCCAAATGTGAGCCACTGCATTTGGTTAGGGTTAGGGTTAGGAGCCTAACCCTTCTTCCTCGTCTTTTTGTTTTTTTGAGACAAGGTCTTGCCAAGCACCCTATGGTTGGCCTGGATCTGTGTAGGTCAGGCTGGCTTTGAAACTCGCACATTCCTACTGCTCCTGCTCCTGAGTGCTGGGGTTATAGGCATGCACTACCATGCCTCCCCACCCCGCTCCCCATATCCAACATCCTATTTAAGTTTTCTCTCAGTGCTGGAAATTGAATTCAGGGCCTGCTGCTTCCTCGGCGAACACCTTTTTTTTTTTTTTTTTTTTTTTTTTTTTTTTTCTTATCTCCTCTAAACCTCAGATGCCTTATCTATAAAATGGGCATCTGCATTCCCACACTGTGGGGGCTGTGAGTACAAAGAGAAAGGGCTTGTTGTCAGCAAGGTGTCCACAGCAGCCTATGGGCTCAGTCAAGGCAGTATCCTTAGTGAGAGCCCTCCCAGTGAACCAAGTGACCTGTTTGTGCTCACTCAGCCAGTGAGGAGTTGATGAGAGACACCCTTCTTTCCCGGCTCAGCCTCTTCCTCCTTGATGCCCGGCAACAAATACTGACTGGTCGATCTGACTTAACTGATGCTGCCTTTATGGTATGGTTTGTAATTATTTATGAGGTCTTAAACTCATGGACATTCCCTGTCTCTGCCTTTCAAATGATGGGATTGGAGATATGGGCCACCTCACCGCCAGAAAAATCCCCTTGAAGCAGAATTTGGACTTTCCTAGCATTGGCCATTTCCTGCTCTGGTTCATCTAAATTTGTTTAATCCCCCCAGCCTTCTTTCGTTACATTGTCCTCATACGAAAAACATGCATTGCCCTCCTAGTTTGACACCCAAGTCAGATGCCCCCAGACTTCTTATGAACTGTCCCCACCCACTCCTCCAGGGCCATGGCTCTACTGCCTCTGCACAGAGTCCAACAGCTGCGCCAACCATTGGCCAGCCTTCCTTCCGGTGCAGTGGGAGGCCTGACACATACCCCATGCCAGACCCACCCCTCTCTGGCCACCCAGTGTGGTCTTCCCAGCATGGCCATTGGTGCCACCTAGTAGTTTTGTCTGCTACCCTTTCAGTCTGTTGGACCAAACCCCACATCATAAGCGGAGGCGGGGGGGGGGGGCTCACAAATGCTCTGACCCATTACCCCAGCCCACGGGCCCCCTCACTGGGACTGGATGAGAAACAATTCATGCAATGGTTCTTTGGAAAGTGTGTAGAGTATTCCAACCTGGGTGTCCCTGGGTGTCATCACCCTCTGGCTGTCCCTCTGAAGCATCAGAGGAAGCTCACAGCTTGTGGCTCAGGCCCGAGAGTCTGATGTGAGGGAGACAGACACAGAACATCTGGCTGGCCCAGCCTTCCGGGGCCACAGCTGCTTTTGGCAGGAAAGTTCTGACTGGGTGGCTAGGGCACCATGCGTGTGGAGAAGGAGAGGGACCTGCTTGGATGCTGAGTGTGACCTTGGACAAACACTTTATAACCCCCTCCTCCTGTCTGTTTGGGAAAAGCTTTACGGTTGGCTTCTTCAGAGGTGTGGGTGTGGAACTATGTGGCAGCCAGCCTGAAAACACACAGGACTCCTCTGGAAGATTTTTAATGAGGGACACAGGAGGAAAGACACCTCGGTGGCCAGGGAGACAAGCCAGTTGGTCAAATATCTCATTGCACAACCTTGGCAACTGAGTTTGCTTCCCAGAATATGAAAAAACAAACAAACAAACAACAACAACAACAAACCCAAAAGGCAGGGTGCCACGGCACACGGGTAACTCCAGCACTCCTATGCAGTGAGAGAGGGTCCCTAGGACACAGCATAGTGGCAGAAACAAGAGAGACACTCCCTCCCTCAACAAGATGGAAAGGGAGAACTGACTCTGGAAGTGTCCTCTGGTTTCCACCCTCTTGCCCTGACACATTAACCTGCACCCACCCCTACACAAAATAATATGCACTCATCTCAGGCTTTTTGGTTTTCACATTTGAAAAAAAATTAATGATGGGGGTATGGTATGTTGTCATTTGCAAGGCATCTCTTATGGTATTTAGTTGCCACAGCCTAGAAACTATTGCTTACTCTCCCCCAGGAGGGAGGCCCAGGGAACATGCATTGAGCATTTTCTATCCAAACATGGCTTTACTCCCCATCTTATAGATGGGGAACTGGCTGGTTCCCAAGGCTGCCCAAAAGGCAGCAACAGAATGGACCAGACTTCAATGCTGCTGGTCAGGGTCCGCTGGCCAGGGACCGGTCCTGAGCACAGGTGAGTCTCTTGCCTCAGCAGCGCCTTGTGTGGCCCTGAGGGAGGGCCTTCCCAGGGAGCAGGGGCCTTGAGTTCTGCTGTCACCCTGGCTTCCCCTCCAGCCTGTGTTTCCTCCCACCTCTCCCTGGCTGGCTTGAGCTGCCAGAGAGAAGCCTCAGCAGCCAGTCTTGGGGAGTTTCTCAGCTCCCAGAGGCATCTGGGCTTCCAAGAGCCTGAAATAGGCTTGTCTGCCGGTGAGGGGGGGAAGACGTCAGCGTTACAACCAGGAGGGAGGGTGGTGTTCCCTTCTCAGGCTCCTCTCTGACAGGGACTGGAAGTGCGGGGTCTACTCAGACCCTAAGGCAGCTAGCTCCTCCTCCTTTACACCATATCTGTCAGGAACTCCTGCTGGTGGCCAGCCTCCTCCTTGTCCCCTACCCTGCAGGCAGGGTGGGCAGTGGGGACAGTACGTGGGGAGGAGTGATCAGAGTGTCCGGTCCAATGGATGAACATGTTGGGGTTGTCAAAACATGAGTTTGTGACCAGGGTCTACAGATGGGCCCTGTGAAGCTATGAGAAGCTAAGGGTCTTGGCCTTGCCCCTCTCCCCTGGCCAGTCCTAGGGCAGACTGCTGCACAAGAGTCAGTGGCGTGTGGCGCCACAGGGAGTGGCTGATACAGGGCTGGCCCAGGGTTGTCTGTTAGGCCGTGGAGTTAGGTGAAGTTAAGAAGCTGGGCAAGACAGATCTGATTGTCATCTCAGGTCTTCTCGGGTTCACTGTGGGCCTTTGAGCTGAGTCTGTCAGTAAACACCTCCCCAGCCAGGCCTGGCCCCGGGGTGTCAGGGGGTATACCGAAGAAGAAAGGGCTCCCAGGATACAGAATGAGTCCTGCTCTCAGACTGTCCTTCTGTCCCTCTTCTCCCACTCGCCGGGGAGAAACTCACTGACAGATAACAAGGCCTGCACAGAGCATCTCCAGGTCCTATGGGCCTTGCCTTGTTCCCTCATGTGCCCTCATGTGCACTGTGGGCCTAGGGGTGTCGCACAGGCTGAGAGAAGCCCTCTGGGGTTGCAGACTGGCGCATCTGAGGCGCCACTCCCCACTGTGTGCTTGTGTGTGGGTGCCCACGCTGCCAATCTGTCTGCAGCTTCAGGATCCCAGTGGCCATCCTTGGTTCCCGCCACCCAGGGCAGTGTTCCGGGGGCGTGAGAACTCTGAAATAGCCGCCCCTTCCTCTTCCTCGGGAACCCTCCCCCAACTCCTCTAGAATACTTCGCTGCTCTTTTCCTCCCAAAATCTACTTCTGAGTTGGAATCCTGGCATGCCGGCAGGGAGCTGGTTGGGTCCCAGGCTTGCAGGAGGCAGAGGCAGAAGGGGAGAAAAAGAGTCAGAGAAGAGGCCAGTACTGGGAAGCAGCTCGGCACCACAGCTGTCGGACCACCCCAGGAGTCACCCTATCTTCACAAACGGCTGCCCTGCTCTGCCCTCCAATTGACAATCTCCCCCTGCCAAGAACTGGGGGCCTGGGGTGAATGTGGTGTCTCTGCTGTGTGTACCCCTGGATCCAGCACGTGTGGGAAGTCTATAGGTGTGATTTGTAGGTAGAGACAGTCTCTAGCTTCTGTGGCTGCGCGTGTGTGCGGGTGTGTAAATACAGCATCACTCAGGGTGGGGGGTCCTCCGAGATACTGGAGACAGACACTACTACCTGGTGAGAGGGCCCAGAGTGGAGCTCTGCTCCCGAAAGCCATCCCCCCCCCCAAAAAAAATTCCTAACAAACTCCACCAGGATTGCATCGGGAAGCTTACTGGCTTCACTCACTGCCTCACCTGCAGCTTGCACTGGCCTCACTTTGGGGGCCCAAGAGGGGCAGCTGGGCAGCTGGGCCTTTTGACCTCTAGCCCCCTGCTCTCTGCTAGGCCGAGCTGGACAGGGTGTTCTGTTTCCTCTTTAAACCCTTTCCTTGCTGAACCTCAGTTTCTCTGCCTGTCTCTAAAATGGGGAGCCCCAGCTGTTCCCTTTGAGGGGCTGGTCAGATGCCAGAGCCGTGCATCTTAGTTGGGTCACTAGGGTCACTCATGAGGAAGACCGACTGGGATGGGTGAGTTCCCAGGCCAGGGGGACGCAAGTGCCCTCCCTCTCCTAGCTCCTCATGAGCCCCAAGCCCCGAGCCAGGAAGGAATCGCCCCAAGGCGCCCCCCCCCCACGACCCGTCCCTAATCTCTGGGGAGGTGGCTCCGGAGCTCGCAGCGGGCCGA